TATTGGGGAACAAAAAATTCCGGGGAAAATCCCATCCAATGAAGGTTAAAGGGGGCAGCATCCCAAGGACAGGGGCAACAATCGGGTCTTTGGGGCAGTGGCCAGACATGCCTCTGCATGGACAAGCCCTCTAACCTGGAGAAGGGTGGGGCAAGCTCTGACACAGCTGTGTCTAAGTGCCTCTCACCCAGCAGGGAGGTAACTCAAGAGAGGAAGGCCTCCCACACTGAGTAATATTCCATTGTGTATATATATACCACAGTTTCTTTATTCATTCATCTATTGAAGGACATTTAGTTCTATAATTTAATTATTGTAAATTGTGCTGCTATGAACACTGATGTGGCTGCATCACTGTAGTATGCTGTTTTTAAGTTCTTGGGGTATAAACCAAGGAGTGTGATACTTTGGTCAAATGTTAGTTTCATTCCAAGTTTTCTAAGGAATCTCCATACTGCTTTCCAGATTGGTTACCCCAATTTGCAGTCCCACCAGCAATGTATGAGTGTGCCTTTTCCCCCATATCCTTGCCAATACTTATTGTTGCTTGTATTCTTAATAACTTCTGACTGGAGTCAGATGAAATCTTAGTTTTGATTTACATATCTCTAATTGCTAGAGATGTTGAATATTTTTTTCATATATTATAATTTTGGTTCTTATAATTAGGTCTTTGAACCATTTTATTTTTGCATATGGTAATAGGTAGGAATTTTATATATATATATATATATATATATATACAATTTTTTCTGGTACCTTGTATTGAAAAAACTTTGTTCAATGTGTATTCTTTGGCCTCTTTTTAAAAAATCATTTATCTGGATCTATGTGCATCAATTTCATTATTTATTTATTTATTTATTTACCGGAGATTGATCTCTGGGGCTTTGCTACTGAGATACACCTCTATATTGTCAGCCATTTTTATCTATTTATTTTTATTTTGAAATAGGGACTGTTTATAAGTTGCTCAGGTCTTCCATGAGTTTCTGAGGCTGAACTCAAATCTGTAAGCCTCCTGCTTCGGTCTCCTTATTTGCTAGGGTTACTTTTTAATAAATAATGCTGTGAAATTTTTATATTTACATGCAGAAAAAGCAAACTATACCCTCTCTTCCTTCTAGTTATGAAACTCAACTAAAATCATTTAAATACATACATGTATCACCCCAAACTGTTAACTACAAGAAAGAAATAGCCTCAGAACTTTTGAACAGGTAAGGATTAATTTGGAAATGATCCAGAAAGAACCAGGTGTGGTGGTGCAAGCCTGTATTCCCAGTGGCTCAGGAGGCTAAAGCAGGAAATTGAAAGTTCAAACCCAGCCTCGGCAATTTGGTGAGGCCCTGAGCAATAAGTGAGATTCTGTCTCTAATATATTATAAAATCAAAAAAGCTGGGGATGTGGCTTGGTGGTTAAGCACCCCTGGGTTTAATCCCTGATAACAAAAATAAGTAAGTAAGTAAAGAAAGAAAGAAAGAAAATCATGTTACTGTATCACATATTAGTAAAAACAAATTTAATAAAAGGTGTAAAATCATTTAGTAAAGTTTCTTTTATGTTTTTGTAATGGTTTTAAAATAATTGAAACTAATTTGTTTTTCTTTAAATAATTTTTACAATTCAGCCTTAAATCCATCAGGTTCTGACCTTTCTGGGATGAAAGACTGATAATTATTATTTCAACTTTGTTGTTTCTTATTGGTCTGTTTAGATTTTCTTTTTCTTCTTGATTCACTCTTGGTAGGTTTCGTGTGTCCAGGAATTCAAATGAATTTCTTCTAGGCTTTCCGATATTTTGCAAATAATTATTCAGTGTCTTATGATTCTTGGCATTTCTGTGGTATCAGTTGTAATTACCTCCATTTTTATCTATGATTTTATTCATTTGGGTCTTTTCTCCTTTTTTTCTCAGTTTACACAAAACTTAATCTGTTTTTCTTTTAAAAAATAATTCATAATTTTTTATAATATTATTTTTCAATTTCAATTTCACTTTCTTCTACTTTGCTATTTATTATTTCTTTTCTTCTATGAATATTTTTCTTGTCTTCAGGAGTTACAGTATTCAGTTGTTATTTTGAACCTTTCTATTTTTTCCATTTATGCATTTATT